ATTCTGATTTCACAATGTAATTTACTACACTTATGAAAAATATTTGTCCACTTTTCCCTGTCTGAGTCTCTGACGAAGAATCGCCGGTGCAGCATTTCATTACTTTCTCATTACTACGTAGTACGGTGAGAAAGTAAAAATAAAAATCTTCGAGGTCACATCATTTTTGACCCGCCACCTATCGTTTATTTATGCATATTGAAAGCATAAATGCAATGAAAAGCATTCATAGCATTTTCATTTGTGTTTATCATGGGTAGAGGTAGATAATAGCCTGCTGGGTAGTCGGCCGCATTCATATTCATAGTTCCTCAACTTTGTCATCATCGAAGGAGCGAGACAAGGTTTTAATGATGATTGATTGATTGTTAGCGATTCTGAGCGCGTTTACGGCAAAGTTCCATAAGTGTAATGCATGCTTTATCCTCGGGGACTTGCGGTGAGCTTCCCCCGCTGGATGGTGAGATCCGACGCCGACCTACCGTCGGCTAGCGGGGTTTTCCCTAACCAGGTATCTCCCACCAGTGGGGCTCCGCCCTAGCCGGGACAAGCTCCCGACCGGTCTCCCGGCATGTGTGGTAGAGTAATGCACATTAGTGTAAGGATGTAAGGGGTGAAGATAGATCAAGGAAGAGCAAGGAAAGATCGCAAGTGATCCGTTTGTTAGGGTACTGGTCCAGCATTCGCCTGGTGTTAATCGGAGAAATAACGGAAACCTACCGATCAGAGCAGCCGGCCACACGACTTATTCTTCAGACAGCGATTGAATTCGACCTAACTGACAAGCTAGTGTCGAAAATCCTGCCACGCTCGGAACTCGAACCTAGAACCTCCCGGTCTGAGGCACTGTAGGGACATCAGTTGATGCCCTGAGCCACCTCTCCCGGTACAAGGCTTTAAAGAATGAGGAGATGGACGAGACGAGGCGGAGTCGGAGTAGGACCTTCGCGGGCTCTCCTTTCCAGTTAGGCGGCGTGTGAGCATAACTGTCTGGCGGACAGCGTCACGGCCAAGGAGCCGCCTGTGTTTGCGCGTATCACGCGGCATACACCGCGCTTGCTGTCGCCTCTCCCGCTCCCGCTGACCATTCCGTAGCCTTCACTCGTGGCCTCAAACGCGATGTGGGAGTTAACCCGTTGCCGCCCCGCATTGGGTTGAACGGAACATTGTCATATCCATGGAGTTATGCAGAAAATATTCAGACTCAAAAGATGCATCAACGTTTGCGGTATCGTTATGTAGTCGTGACATTCGCGATTGTAGTTGGAGATTGTAGATGGAGATTCTTAGGTCCAGGTGGAAGTGTTCGGGGTTAACTGAACGAATGAGATTTCTAGGTATTACGTGCGTTGGCTTCATGACCTCTTTATAATGTACGATAACAAGATTTGAACTTCGTGTGCACTCCTTTTAAAATATATTTACTTTTTGAACATCAAGAAAGTTAGAACTGTATATGACGTATGAGGGAAAAGTACAATGTGAGAGACGCACAATCTGTAAACGCTTCCCCAATTCCTTTCGCACCCCTGTTCCTAAAACAATGAGTACGAGGAGAAAAGATGTAATACGTAGAAAGATGCCTTTTCTTGTTCTCAATTACTTACTACTACAGTAACAACCCGATTTTAAAAACAGGAACTAGTATCGCATCTTTGTATTACTACATAGTCTTTAATTGTGTGATTGTAGAGACAACTGAAACTTATCTTTGATGTTAGATGTGAGAAAAGCAGCTAAATTAACTAATCGTTTTGAAAAATTGGTTTTGTGCTTTTTGGAGCCACTTTTAAGCTTTCAACATGACCTTTGTGATATCTGATTCATTGTTTTCCGATTGAAAACACGATTAATCTAAAATAAATTTCCATATCCCGTGAAATAAATGAAGGAATTGAAAAAATCACAAAATAAATTAACATTCACTTCCTTAATAAGGAGCCTCACTTTTTGAAGATGGACCACTGTGTGATCCCGAAAGCATTCAATGCGCCGGTTGTGACTGAAGGAGATAAAAACTCAAACAGAGAATAAAAATTGTCCTACAATCATCTAAGATATAAAATAAAACTTGGAAAATTAATTAAGGAATAATAGAGATAATGTAGATCTATTAGTGTGACAACAAAGCTTAATTCAGTCTTGGTCTCTCTCTTCACTCTTGGATGCCGACAATGTTTCAAGTAAACAGGAATAGAAGCATGTAAATGACACATTGTGTATTGATGAATAGTTACAAATATTCCGTTCTGAAATCAAATTTACTTCAGGGTATTTTTACATGTTACTCCGGCGTGAGGTAACTGTGTAGCCTGCGTGAGATATTTCAGACGAGACAAAAAGTAACAATTAAAACCCGGCTATTTGACGGAATATTATATATAGCCTCCGCAGTCACATGGGCAGAACCAAATTTACTTACGAGCAAAATAAGTGGCATGGGGCCCCCTACAGGAAACGAATCTCGAAATATTCGGGGAGAAATGCCATAACTATGTATCTGTAAAAGTGTTAGAGGACTAAAGTATTATGAGTTTTGACTGTGATAAGCTGCGAACTCTTTTAAGGCATCATTCACCAATTTTCTGCAGTCAAGAGTAGACAAAAAAGATTTTATTAAAGCGGTTATAAACAAAACATGTCAATAAATCATAAACGGATTTAATTTTAAAAAATATGTTCAATAAGATAAGCAATTCGTTAATTTTCTTTCGAATTTGTAATATATATTTAATTACAGTGGTGCTTTTAGTAAATGTGGAGTATTTTTTTTCGGGGAGGTCCCAAACATGATTTTGTGTGTAGGTGCCCGTAGAACCTAATCGTGGCTCTGTACACGGGCACCAACAGAAGGAACGTTCTGCTCATATACTCGAAAGAAATCGCCCACGGCAACAAAGGACTAATCCAGTTAGTCTATTAGAAATCCCTGTCTTGCGGGTTGGATGAACAACAGTAGAACATTCTTACATCTTTTTCGGTCTTCAATCGCCTTTTGAAGCGTGTGCACTTATAATGGAATCAGCAAAATTGCGTCAACCTGAAAATTAAATTGGTTAGCCGGATATATGAATATTAAGCTGCGCAGAGCGCGCAGTTCATGCAATACATACGTACATGCAAGTGTTTGACGCTACAATTCATTCTAGTTTCCTCAGCTCAACTGTAATGGTAGTTTTCCACCCTGTCTTATTGAAATCTAGTCAGAGGTCGAAATAATACTTTCGTTACAAATACAATCGCACACAGACGATCACATCAAGGAAGAATAAACGAGAAAGTAACGAATAGATTTCTGTTGTCACGATATATTCAGCCCTGGTCATTTAATTCTAGCCACTAGGCATTAGACTGAAAGGGTGCAATATTTTTAAAATATTTGTTTATGCACAGCTTACTTCTGATGTGACATCTGTATTATTCCGTACATTCATTATTACTGCCGAGAACATATACGTGCGCTATTTGTCAATTTTACTGTCGGTTAAAGAATTGCCTCCTATGATCAAAGTTTATGTTAACATATCGCGTGTATATGTAGAGCCATGTTTTCAATGTTCATAGCGTGCAAAATTTGTTTTCTTCAGAAATATGTATCAATTGCATTTATAAGTATATTTTTCAGTGTAATGAGTTTTGTATTAATTATAAATTTCCCCAATATCGTACTGGACATTCACACGTGATGTGTTCCTATATTGCCATAGGGTTAAGGACGAACATATACACATCTTCATGCAACTAAAATGACGCTAACAGTTTAAAAGCTGTAAATTTAAATATTGTAACAAATATGAAAGTATGAGCAATTATCTCTAGAAGTGAATTGACCGACGTACTCTTCGAGGAGTTAATAAAATCGTGACTGATTCGTAGCTAGGGAGTACCATTTCCATCACTTTCTTAATATTTTGTTTCAGTTGTTTGTATGTATGTATGTATGTATTTATGTATTATGTACTTTGGCAGAACAGCTCATTATGAGCTAAGACCTACCAGTAGCGTTCCGGTCTTGCGGCCATGGGTTAAGGGGTATGTGTGGTTAGCACATAGCCATCCGTGCGATGTATTTCTTTTATTTCAGTTGTATGTTAATGTATGTATGTATATTATATCAAAGTATTTATGCTGATTTCATCTTGTGCGTAGAACAGATAAAACATATTTTTCTCCAGATGGCTACTCAAATTGCTTGCTATACGAGTACCATCCTCCAGTATCGGGCATGTTCGTATTTAGACATATTGTCTCTGTACTCCAAAGCGTCTCTCTCCGGAAAGCCCTTGGGATCTAGTCTTGACGTGGCGGATTTTCGTCACTAGATAAATAGGTCGAATCAGCTTCTCGCTGGAGAACAATTCTAGCGGCCAGCTCCACTGATCTTTAGTTTTCCGTAGTTTCTCCGATAAAGAACAGAAAGAATGAATGCTGGAGCAGTAGTCGTAACAAACGGGCTATGAACCGCGCGCGATCTTTCCTCCACATTTCTTGCCCTGTCCACTCTTTCTCTCTCCTTCTCTCTCTCCTTCTCTCTTTCTCCTCTCTCTCTCCCCTTCTCTCTCTCTCTCCCCTTCTCTCTCTCCCCTTCTCTCTCTCCCCTTCTCTCTCTCTTTCCCCTTCTCTCTCTCCCCTTCTCTCTCTCTCCCCTTCTCTCTCTCTCTCCCCCTCTCTCTCTCTCTCCCCTTCTCTCTCTCTCTCCCCCTCTCTCTCTAACTGAAAATGAACTAAACGAACCTGCTCTTACGATCTTTTCTTCAGCAAGGTTGACATCGTAACAAATTGGGGTAACCGAATTATTTTCACTAGTTTCCTTTTACATCTAATTCACAGCAAGTTTCAAACAAATCAGTGTGATGGACATCTGTTGTAAACTACAATTCATATGTAGCAGAAACCTTTGATATTACGTGTTGTCCATGCAACAACTCTGTGTGTAAGATGAATGTAAAGAAGTTACTGCCAGCAAAATAGTAAATTAACTTTTGTTTTCATCCATGCAGGTGAGAGACGTCGTCTTCAGAAGTATACTTTTTCAAAATTTATGTTATCTTTCTCTTCATATAACTGGCAATCTACGGACACATCCAACCGGACTGGTGAAGACGTCTCCATCTAGGTAAGAACTATGATTATTGTTGAGCTTGAGTAATATAAAATATTTCTCAAGTATATAAAAATGTTACAAAGTAAACAGTGTAATAAAATCTTAAGTTCGATTAATGATTGTTGTATGCACCAATTTTGTGGAGAATTATTTATTAAGTATACATTTGAAAACCTTAAAATGTAGTAAAGGCTCTAGCTAGATAACATGGTAAAAAGTGCCCCTGCTTTATTTTATTTTAAATTTTAATTCTTTTTTTAGTTTTTTAAATTTTTATTTTTTTAAATTTTTATTTTTTTAAATTTTTATTTTTTTAAATTTTTATTTTTTTAAATTTTTAACTACAGTTTATGTCTATACACAATTCATCAATGCTTTCGTTTGCAGCTGGATCACTTATAAATGACACTATCCGCCTTGACACTATCCGACGTGACATTATTTGTTTTCTGACCTGACAAACTGGTCTATTCCTAGCGTAACTTTTCTATAAAAATTAAGAAAGTATTATCTAAGAATATGGATAAATATAATAACCGTAAAACTAATATTATTGTTTTCATTGTAGCAAAATTTCCAGAAGAAACCGTTCCAATACATACACCTACACATTTGAGGCTTCAACATAAATTTTTTTCCGTTAAACCACGTTCACACCCGACACCATGGATCCAAATCCACCATTTAGGTAAGTGATTTTTGAAATGTGTCTTTAAAGCAAGTGGAACTACAATCACTTTCTCGTACTATTTATAATGGTTATGTACTATAATACTGAGCTCGTGGGAAAATTTTGCTTCTTTGAACTCGATTGCCTATCATTTGGTGTTTTGTCTTTAAAGCTTCATTGACTCAACATTTACGTCTGCAATTGTTTCCAACCGTCCAAAATATTTTCTGGAGCTGGGATTTTGAACTCGAGAACAAGGCTTCCCGCATACAATGCTCTTATCCACTATGTTACTTCTATGATTCGACATTTCACCTCCCCGACGTATCTTAAATCCAGGTGCTCACCAGCACATACTTGCTCATACTATTTACAAGATAGGCGTATTGCTTATGCTGTAACAAATGACTAGCATTTTATTTATTCGTGTTCTACTAATAATTCTGGATAGATTTTATAATTACAACCAACTTCTTTATTACGACCGCCCCTACAGACGACTGTTTTAAGTACAAAAAATGGGTTGGTCGGCATAGAGAGATTTCATTAGATATATTTTATTTAGACATATTTTAATAATTAATATATAACACACAAAAAAGTACAAACTTAATTGGTGCATTGGCTGCATTAATTCCCACCCTTGATTTACTACAGATGGTAGAAAAATGTGAGGCGGGGAATCGTGGACAGCTCCAGTCCATCTTCATAAATGTCATTCATATGTGGATAATTTCGTCAAGCGCCATTCGTGATAGTGTTTTGTGTTAATAAGCGTCGAAACTGCACTTCTGCTTATACTTTTCAAGTAATGGAAATAGCATTTGTCAGTCAGATCTTATTTATTATTTTCACTACCCTCTTCTTTCTTTTCTTTTTATTAATTTTATTGTAATTTATTATTATTGTTATTATTTTTGTTATTATTATTGTTTTTGTTAGTATTATTATCAATATTATTATTGTTATTATTGTTTTTGTTATTATCATTGTTATTAAAATTGCAGATGTATATATTGGCAACACCAATTTCCAATCACACTTATGTATTTCACAAGAAACCCATTATTGCTCCCTATACCTCCTGATAACTCGAATTCAAATGCACAACCACGTATGTAATTATTATTTCAACATGAAAGAAGAAGTCACGGAACCAGGTAAATATCTTTGTATGTGAATAAATATGTGTTCTGTAATTATGTACTGTGTGATATTATACTTCGAATTAAAACTGTAGAAAAATTCTTGAGAAAAACAAAACGTTATTGCTTTCACTTAAGCTATTTCGTGTCATTCTTGAGACCTCTTAATTTTCTGACATGTTTTCATGACATTTAGTGAAATTAAGCTTTTTTATTTTCACTGAAATGCTCACATGTTAGAAATAATCTTAATATTATTTACTCATAGTAAATATAATATTAATTGCCGTTAATATTTTTTCTTGGAGAATACAAAATGTTTCCATCTCCAATAGATGATCCAGAATTCTCTGAATGATTGTATCTTATTGACGCCGGGGAATTTGTTTTTACCTGCAAAGACAAGATGCCAAAATATGTAACCACTGCAGTGGTAATTAATATTTTGGTGTTTCTGATCCGTAAATGAAGCAGTGATGAGCTAATAAGTCATTCTAAATGCACCTTCACTTTAATGAAGAAAGATTCTCACAAATGTGTCGTAAACGAACCAGGGAAGGGGAGATAATGGGTTGAGGAAAATAAACCACTCATTTTTTCCATTATTAATTTTGTGTTTAATTAACTTAAATATTATATGTATTAAAAAATTATACATATGTATATAATTTAGGTAATTAGAGTACATTAGGTTATTCATGAGTGCAAAAGTAAATGGTGAAAAACCTGATTCAAAATTTTGAAAAGAAATTTATTTGTTTGAATATTACATTAAATATTGTTTTCTGTTACTATTATTGTCTACTTATATAATGAATATAAAAGGAGAGAGAAAAAACTATTATGTAAGTGTTATTTAGGATAGTTTATCATGTTTGCGTATGCAGCCAAAATTTCGTATTTTCACCTCGTGTAAAACAGGGGCTCTATAAGTGTTCAAAATGGCGTGAACGCAAGGTAGGCATCCTCGCCGCAAGGCCTTCGTGACGTGCACAAGTTTGCCCGGTTGTGACTTTATTTCTGCCGCCACTCTGTCAATACGCCGAAGAAGGTCACGATCCTCGATTTCGGTAGCATAAACACGGTATTTGAGTTATAAAAGTTAGATACTGAACGCCACAATGCCAACCGACACATTTACATAGAATCGCAGTTGGTGAGCTACGCTACGTGCAAAATGCGGATTTTCTCGGCCCTCACATGCAAATTGTGCACATTAATTTATGCCAGTTCAACACACTTCATCTGAGCAAAGAACGAAATTCTTGGTTGTCTTTGAATTTGCGCAGGAAATGACTAGATAATTGAAAACGACGTTATCAGCGTCTACTGCGCACATGCTGCACCCGCTGGAAATGGAAAGTTCGTAATCTCTCCGCATGATTTTGTTCGCCAGGTGACGGACTTTGATGTAACCCCGCACGCTGGTTGCCTTGCGCTCGCTTCCGGTGCTTATCTGATAGTAGTAATAACTGAGTTTTCCAGAGAAGTGGTGAGACGAGCTGAAGCCGCTAGCTTACTTGCCAGAGCCCGTGTTACACGAGCACAAGCGCATAGTCCAAAGTTTAACGTTAATTATTTACAAAACTAAACGACGAATAGTATCCAATTTTGGCAAATTGTCTGTTCATTACATAAGGGATAAGGTCCTGGCGTATTAGCAACGAGTCCGCCCTGTATAATTCCCTGCAATCGCCCTGTATAATTCCATAATTCCTACATACTTGTATAACGGCGACATTTTTCGGTTGTAGTGCAAACATATTACAAGCGGCAAGAGCCGTCACTGGTATAAAAATGGGTCAATATTACGAACGCATTTTTAAACGGTTTTTTGTAGCTCAACTTGAATTTCTCATCAGTCTTTTGTCTTGTATTATGTTCATGGATGAATCCACAAATTGGAAGCATTAGTTTACTCCGTATTACTACAGTATAATTCAGTAAGCATTGATACTGGAATTGGAATTAACAAATATAATGTAAAAATTATAAAATATCTTATTTCTTTTCTTTTAGGAACTCAAGGACAAGACTACTAGATTCACAAGAAACTTCAAAGCTAGTGCTATCAGCGAAAATGCCGCTTAAATTGCAAGATCATGGTAGAAAAATGTCCATCTCGAACCATGAGGTATACGAATTTATACGAACACAGATGAAAACTTAATTTGCATGAAATCATAAAATTCTTTGACATATACCCATATTGAATATATTTCGTAAGTGGCGTCAAAAATACTTTATATTAACTGAATACGGTATTTTACACTCTCCCTTGTGAAAACTGTAATGGCGTTATCAAAATCAATTTCATTGACATGTTACCTACTCTTTACGTACACACTGGAACACACTAGAGAACATAGTTATCCATAATATACATATCTATTTAATATACACATTACATACGTTATCATTTTCTCCTTACAATATTTATTTGTTGTCCATTTTCCTACCATCTAAAATGTTTTATTGTGGAACCACTGATCATAAACGTCAAAGAAGCTGTGACAATTAACAACACTCATGGAATTGTTTTAGAATGTATACAAAATTATTTTAACTTTTCTGAAGAAAACGTTTCTAATAAAAGGCCAACTGCAAAATGTTTTCATCTTTCGGAAAAGGGGAAAACAAGGAAGATAATATCACATTAAGTTTTTATTTAGAAAACAATATTACTGGCATCTTAAACATATATTATGCATGTGACGAGCTTCTCTCAAAAAACAGATTCACGCAATTCTGTAGGGATCTGTAACAGTAAAATGGGTAACTTATCTCTTTCGTCTGTTTTGTAGAAAAATCGAAGACCATCACGGATTAATGCAACTTTCTATATACCAAATGTTGCTAATGGTTGTGGAATTCTAATGAGTAATATAAGCATTTCCACGTAAGTAACCTTTATTCCGTTTTGAGCATACATGCATCTACGCGTGAGTGAAAAATAGGAAAAAAGAATAGTAAATAAAATATAAGATTTCTTTGTTTGACTAACAGAAGACCGAGGCATAGGAAACAGCGGAAGAAAATACGTCCTGGCTAATATCATGCAGCAAGTTGTTTCATTAAAAATAACGTGCGATTGAAATACCTTGTATACTCAGGTAAGCAGATTTGTCTTTGATATTAAAATATAGTGATTCCATTGGCTGAAAACTTATATCATTTAATTAGTATATTTTATCTATCTCTTTTTTCAATATTTATCAGTAAGATATATCGGAAACCAAGGACTGCATACCGAAATTCTAGCCGTAAAAGTATTTATACCAGTATTGAAATACCTTCACCCCTATTATATCATAATTCGAAGTACCTTTAACAAACGACGTCAAATATCCGTATTTTTAGAGATATTTTACGTTTATCCCACGCCTATACCGGAAATATGCCTCTATTTAATCTCATGCATTATCTCATGAAAATACCGGTATTTCCATAAGAAAAGACTGCTATTTCAGTAGAATGATACCGGTACTATGGAGGAAGTCGTGATTTTATCTCTGAGATGGGGGAACAATTATTGACACTGCAGAGTTTCTGACCGCGATGTCCTATGTTTCTACCCTCGACGGTGGTGGATTTTCGACTCTTAGCCATACTGTTCTAGCTAGGTCGGATTCTTTTGAGCATCGTACGATAAGTACAAAGATCAGGTAAGTTAAAGCAGGTGTATCATTAACAGATATTGATTATTCATGTTACAACCCTAGAATAACTACTCTCTTTCATTACATACCTAGAGCCCATGCCACTTTTCCCAAACAATGGATATGCAAAAAAATCAGATTTCACTCGTTACATTCTTGAAATAATGGATAAAGATCATGAACACTTTTATGCATTTCAGAGACTCGTGAACAACAGATCTGTAAAAACTAGAAAGGCAATGAACCACTTCCAGGCCGCAAGCATGAGAAAGAAGTACTATCGTTTGCATGTTTAGGTAAAATTTAATTTCTTTTATTTTTGTTTATGTTCTCCTGTAGAAAAACCAGAGTAATGGTTTTGTCTTATATATCAAATTTCAGAGAATAAGCAGATCCCTAAACCAATTCTGCCTGTACAGACCAGAATGGCACTACTGATACATCGTAAGTTAGCTCCTAAATTATGAGGTTCATCATAAATCTGCAGTTCCGAAATTCTTTGATATTATGCGTATTTATAGATGTTGTCCCGGCCAATGAAATGTGTGTTCACCTCTTTTGTTTTGTAGAAGTAGCCAGTCAACAAAGATTATGGTATGTTGAGGCTGCCCATAATTTACAGCAATGCAAAGTTATTTGACACTACTGAGTACGACGTGCCATGGATTTTACGCTTAGGTAAAAGTTCATTTGTTTTAACGCTGCGTGCGTTCGCTCATGAGCGAAAGAGGGAGAATGCAGAGGGATATGGATGATATTGTTTTTTTTATTCTTTCGTGCTTGACAGATGTCCTGATACAAAACCCAACAAAAAACCTCTGATCCCAGTATACCCCTGAGAAGCACTGGATAAATGTGATACACTTCATTCAGCAGGTACATCTCAAACATTAGGCGAATAATTATGTGATATTCTCTCTATATAACGTTCTTGACAATGTGTGGCTCTTTTTATTATGTTTTGTAGAAGTGCGGCTGTTAGAGAAACTATGGTGCCTGGAGTGACCTGGAAGAAACTACGACCATTTACGGCACCGAAGCCACGCACAAAATTAACTGGACCATCCCAAAACATCTTGGTAATTATATGTTATATTATATACGTTGTCCTTACCAGTAATACGAGTAACTTTTGTATCGTTTATTTTGTAGAAACAGCAAACATGATGGGACATTAGGGCTACCCTCCATTTATTGCATTGCAAAGTTATGGGCACGCCTGAGAAGTCTAGTAGCTTCAACGTTTAGGTAAAATATATGTCGTTTTAACCTGCATTTATCTTATAATTTGTACAAAGGAGAAAAAACAGAGTTTTGGAAGATGTTTTTTTCTTGTTTATTAGATACGAAAGAATGACAAGCTCAAAAGAATTAACCTATCTGGACAGAGCAAAATGGTACTGGGGACATGCGATACACAGAAATGAAACTTCAAACAAACAGGTACGTCTCGACCTGTAGCCCTATCATTCTGAGGAAATCCTCAGTGCCTTTTCAATAAGATATATAATTATTTATTTTTGTTTTTATGTAGCCAATAAGATGGATCGTTTATGCTGTCAATTTACCGCTTAAAATAATCGAATAGTAATCAAATTATCAATTTACCACTTAACAAACTATGACGCATGAACAGACTAGAGACACACTGAAAAGTATGAAAAACGTAAATATCTAAAATCAACAGGTAATCTCAAAACTTCAGCCCCATAATTGTTTAATTTCTCTATGTATCGATTACAGAAGCCATAATTAATAATAGATACATATGTTGTCATTGTTAGCAATTGTAGCTATTTTTTGTCGTTTGTGTAGTAGAAGTACAAATGTTAAACGGAGGTTGAGCCTACCCTCAATTTACCGCAACACCTGATGATATGCAAGAGTAAAATACGTCATCGTGTGTACGATTAAGTAGACTTTATTTTTAACTCAACCCAGATGTAAAACCCAGAGACAGAGCGATTTACAAAAGAGTTCATTTATCATCATGATAAGATATCTCAAGAAGAATGCGACTTAGACTGACCAGAGAGATACTGGGAATTACTGAAACATTGAAATAAGTTCTCAAATTATCACGTGCATCAAATAACTTCGGTTTCTTATATCTGTGATATTCCTGCATGTTTTCCCTATGAATATAATACGTATCCTTCTCTTTTCTTTTGTTTTGTTGAAGGAGCTAAGATGGTAAGTTGAGGCCACCTTCAATTTACTGTAATGCCACGTTTTAGACCAAGATTAAAATGTATCATCGTTTCTACGTTTAGCTAAAAATGTTGGTTTTAAACCTAATCTGTGTAAAGAAGAGAGACAGCGGTTCAAAAGTTTGTTAATTTCTCGTCTAACAAGTGGTGAAGATTAGACACATTTTAAAAACCTAAGCTGCCTTAACTGACAAATGTAATGATTATTTTAATACTGCGAACTGACGACAAATCTTCGGGTATACCGGGAAACATACATCAAGTAACCCGTATTGCTAAAATATTCCACATGCCAGAAAATGTAAATATTTCCTTTTCTTTGTTTTGTGGGAGATAATGCGTTTACCGCAAATAAGGGCTATGGACACAAATAAGACGTGTACAATTCATTTCGTTTTGACCACACGTGAATTTATTCATGCGAAATAGTTGAGTGAGATATTTGCGACGTAATTTTTTTGTTTGTTTGTTTGTTTGTTTGTTATTTAAGGTCGCATCAACTACTAGGTCATTAGCGACCACTATTGCTTGTAACGGTATGGTAACTGTGGGTTGACACGATAATGATGATGATAGGGGGTGAAAGGACGAAACACAATACAACCACGCCCGAGGCGGGACTCGAACCCGCGATCATTCGGTCCGACTTCGCTACGGCACTACTGCCTTAGCGATCTCGGCCACCGGATCGGCGACGTAAATTTTGTCTAAAGGAAGAAAAACGATTCCTCCTGAACTTCAGAAAGTCTGTGTGCATCTCTCGTACGATATCCAAACAACATTTTTAATAGTCATTTATACTACCGAATATCCTGCAAACTGATATGTAACTGAATTTCACCCAAATGATTGATGTCTGATTAAATTTCGTTGTAGCAGTGCGACTATTTTGGTTTTTATGTTCCTTGCGTCGAGCAATTCGGGCAATAGTCCATGTACAGGCCTGGAGGATATGGTAGGTATCGTGGATAGGTATACCCACACGAGAAATTTTGAGTCGGTAAAATACTCTCTTGTGATTTCAGGTGAGAGATCTATTTCATAAACGTGAAATTCCAGAAATGCCAAATTCTGTAAACATTAACTTCTCTTTTCGTACTCTGGAATTTGAAGACGTCCAGGTGGGGACAAGCGAGGTAATTCTGATAATGATCTTATTAAGTAGTTAAAAATAAAAACTTTATTTTGCATGGTAAAGCGTTTAAAAATAATTGTTAAATGGATAAGCAAAATAAAAGGAAGTTTTTGTTATATTTTGTAGCGAACCTAGACCGCGCGAGCGTTCAAATCATCGCTTATGTTATTTCACGTATCATTGTTTTGCCTGCAACAATCACACGAAACCCTTTTGAAGCCTGTCACTAGGCCTGAGCCTTTGCCTTTTCTTGAGTTCATCGTGAGCCTTATACAAGATAACTCCGTATTCTTTAGTCACTTTACTTCAGTTGTCTCTTCGTATTTTATTAATTAAAATGATCGTATTCCTACTTTTGAATTTCCGGTGAAAGAAATGGTCTTCGTTCATACGCATTAGGTTGCGCGAACAATACACGTCTGACGATGTCTATGGCGGCATGTCTGTGTGTACGTGTGTATACAAGTGGAAGTACAGAGATATAGATGGACGGACAGATTTCTTGGTGCGACGGAAAAGGTAAAAAACGGAAGAGCGTAGACAAACCCGTTAGGCAACGGAGACAGGAGGGAAAATCCCCATCATCTTTGGAAAAAACTGTCTACGGTAATCTTTACAAACGAACGTGGTGACACACACGACCACGCTGACAGTCCACATCAAAACAGCATCAAAGACTATTCCGAAAATAGTGAGTATGGAATTACGTCAATTATATCCATTGCAATGGATGTCAGTTCCGTTTTTCCCTTCATATACATTTTCGATGAGAGATGGCGGGGGAGGGGGAACCTCCACTGAAACATAACATCAACTGCCGGCCCTGTCCATGAATTATTCATTTGTTTTTTACGTCAAGTTTATTCCTGATAAATAACCCCTTTGCGTATTAATATCAGCTGAGATTGCCATTTCATATTTTTATTTCATTTTGTATCTATAAATGTGAGAACATGGGCACCAATGTTCTGTACTTCTAAATGAAATGTTGGCATGGAAGCCAATAATAAATACAATGAGTTGCACAGAATCGTTGGAAATGCGTACACGGGACTTAAATTATAAGCACATGTAAAATGTATATTTTTTCCACATGAATATAGCCAAACGAAAGAAAATTCAAATGTATTTCTTTGCAGACCACTGAAAAGTATGCTTTGAGAAAGAAAAGATTGTGCTTGGTGGCCAGTGGAGTGGCAAAATTCCCTGATTTTCATGGAGTATACAATAAAGAAGGTAGGTGTGTGCTGCGTTTATCCATTGCTTTGTGAAAAATCTTTCGAAATATGTATTTCGATATAGTTACAATATTTTCACATCTTTTCTTGTCATCGGTTTGCTCACTCATGGAAAGTGTAACCTTTGGAGTTTAGGAGTCGCCATTTATTTTTACCAGACATAAATGAGAGCCATTGAATTTTTTTTAATAATCAGTTGAAACGAAAAAAATATATATATTCTCCTCTATACAGTCCAAAAAATGATTAATTTTGTACGACAATCATCACAGATCTTGTCATCTTTATTCTATTAATAATTATGTCAACAAATAATGGAATATAATACTATTGGACATAGTAACTGCAGTGAAGATTATTTGTCAATTGTACTCGATGGTGAAAGAAAGTAATTTTCAAGATCTGTTTAGCAACGTATTACCCACCGACGGATCACCGTAAATATTTTTACATATTTGTACTGCTGAAAAATTAATTAAACACATGGGCGTTTTCAGTTTTCGCTTTCTCAAAAACCGACGAACTTCAAAGTAAATTGTTGGTCCGCCTACTCCGAAGCGATTTTGTCGCGACGTTTGTGGTTGAGGGAAATTTTTTGCACTCCTTCGTACCTTACGTGGTTGCATATTATGTAAAATGCATACAAAATAAGTTATTCCTACATGCTTTCGTTGATGTTGTTTCGTAGTTGTCGCTATGGAAAGCGTTACTCATTCGACTCTTTGATACGTCATTGCGCAACAGCACCGAATTTTTTTCTATGTTATGAAAGTCTAACCAACGGATATTTTCAGAGCATTCTTTTCTTTAAATAATATTTCTTGGTATTTCAGGTGCACGAAGAACGACTGCGAGCTAGTCTCATGTGTATCAAGATTTCGAAGAAGTCGTCCTTGGAAAAATGGTTTCTGTGATTATTCTAAATTGATCGAATTCAAATCATAACCTTGTTAAATATCACGCACAACTACCCCAAGCACATATTAGTCCTACACATTTTCCGGAGAGATATGTACCGGAGGAAAATTCCGTATTGTCTGTATATTATGAAATTGGTTTGCCAATAACCAAAATTGCCGATTGTAATATCATATATCAATATTGATAATATACGCATCTGCTGATCTATACTATAAATGTGTCTTATTTTCAAAGTGATATGCCATAGATGATATATACCCATAACTTTTTACATTTTTAAAAACCCTTAATATTTTGTAAAAGACCATGGTTGGACATTGATGATGAATTCCAGGTCCTCTAACACCACTAAAATCTACCATTCTATGTTAAAACTACTGTGAAATTGACACTGCAATTGATTTTACAATCGTATAGAGTCGTTCACCTCTACGATCATACTAACTAGGGACACAAACTGAAATCGCGTGAAAACATACTTAAAATTTAAATAGTTTATAGTAGAGTGCGTGGACTGAGTCACGATGCTGTGAGTCAGAGTAGTCTATTTCGATGAGCCTCATTTGTTTTCTACATGAGTTATAACCTCTGTTCTATTGCAATACTCGTCGAAGTTCTCCAGTATGCTGTCATATCTTGAAACATACGTGGTCTGATATTTTGGGAGGAGATGGTTCGTATTGGATATGATGGTTCGTATTGCTCCTAAGATGAGTATCTAGTACTGCTTGAGCAGCAAACTTTAGGCACAGACTCTATCTGATGTTATTTAAAATCAATATATCTATCCAGAGTGATTTACGTTTCGATGTCATTATACAGTATTTTTATGAATATTTATGCCGTATAACAAATTCCATAGCCTTTCCTCCCATTGCGTTTCATATACACGTCGGGACGTTGCCTCTAATATTTTTACACAGACCGAACCATTTTGAAGCCATACCATTCACATAACTAGTGTCATTGCCAGTTCACGTCCAGCATGCCACTGTGTGTCGTGTACATGCAAGGAACACCATTTTGCATGCAGGTGATTCGGAAAACTATTTTTGTAATAAATGACCTTCGCCCAAAACATGTTTTCGTGAGATTCTGCGCATTTTATGTGAAGTGTCCTTTATAAAAATCGTTATACAGCGCTTCAACGCTTTCCAAGAATGATTCAAGGTAAACACTCGTTTAGTTTAGATTAGTTGAGAGTGGAGTAGATCCATCTTAAGTCCATTTTGTGAACTATAGTATGTAAACACAGAACGGTTATAGAGTGACAGAACAAATATTTAGTTATAGCAAAGGAAATTGGTTTTGATGGGCGTATGAACTTGGGGGGGGGGGGTCTGGATTAGATTCTTCTTTCTCAAATGCCATTCTTGAGTAATAGCAGATATCACGATGGTATTCATATTGACGTAGGGTGGTTTTTTTCGCGTAGTGGTCACCTCGGACCACGCGTGCATTCTGCTTCAGCAGGTGCAAGTACATTTCTGGGGTGGGGTGGGGAATCAGCATTTTAGCTGAATTCCGAATTATATTCCCCACAGTCATTAGTCCTGGGGGAAATGGACGATGAGATGATAATGATGATGATGACAATGGATCAAAGAACGGCACCTACATATAGACATTCACAAATACACCCATTCCTAAAGCGGGACTCGATCCCGCGATCTTCTGGTCCGAGACCAGACCCCTACGGCACTACTGCCCAAACGATCTCGGCCATCTGACAGGAATTGACGTAGGTTATTAGAGTAGCCTAGGATTGATTACTTGGCGTTTCCGGGCATGTCAAATGTTATGGTCATTTTTCCCGATATTGTAGTAACAATTTTTATGCTTGGAGGATCGGAGGTTCTCCCCTGCTGGATGTTGATGTACGGTACCCACCTACACGCCTGCTTACGAGAGGTTCTCTCCTTCAAATATCTCTCCCAGTAGTGAACCGCGTCAGCAGGGACAAGTTCTAAACTCCCTACCGGTCTCGTGACATCTGTAGTAGTGTAATGGATCTGCAAGTGTGTGTAAGTAATGGGGTAAAGATTGGACAAGGAAGGAGATGGAAATATGGCGCGCAGTCCGTGACCCGTTTATTAGGGCATTGCTCCTTCACTTGTCTGCGACGGAAAATTACGGAAAACTACCGATCAAAGCGGCTGTCCGCTAGAATTCTTCACACAGTTATTGAATTCGACCGAGCTTTAGGACTAATGTCGAAAATCTGCTATCTTCGGGGCTCGACTGAATCGGGGCTCACTGCCCTGAGGAAGCCTGCGCCATGTCAGGCGAAACGTCGGCACCCCAGCCAACGACGCGATCACTTTAAAGACGTTCTACTCGTACAATAAATGCCGTCCTAGGAGGCAACAACATAACCACTGTGCTTACATTTTTGGAGTATTGAGTTCTCTCTGTAGATCTTCACTAACGATTGATAGAATTAACACAACATTGATTGTCTTAGGCAATATTAAAATGTGATTGATGTTTTTTATGTAAAGAAATTTGAAGCAGGCATTTTTATTTTTACTTATAACATGATATATGAAAAAGTATGTCTGGCATACTACGTTTCGTAAATTAATTGTTCACATTAGGTATAAAAAAGTATATTTAAACTTACAAAATACATAATAATCTGAAAATGATTTTAGAAACATTGAAAATAATGACCTATATTTAAACCATATTTTAAGAAAAGCTCCGAAGATTTTAATATATTTTCTTATGATTTTTACGATATTTATATTACGATTTATAAGTTTAAAATTGAGTAGGTAATAACAAATTAATAGTTAATGAAGGAAAAACAGTTTCAATGCATTTTTGCATTTCCAATCAGCAATCGCATGCTGGATTGAAAATGAATAATATGCATTTAGCTGATGTACAGGCAACAAAGTTTCTAAGTCTCTCAATTCAGTCAAACCTCAAATGTAATGTACATATCACAAAATTAAACACTAAATTAAGTTCATTATGTTACGATTCAAAATTCTTTCAAATTTTGTCAGCCTTCTTGCAACTCGTTGCGTGTATTTTACTAATGTACTGTGGCGTCGTCGGGTGCGAGTAACACACAGACACGGAGTTGATTATACAGTTTTATTTACAATTTTGATTACACAATACACATACTCCTCGGAAACGCGCTACACTCCCAGCACTGTACATCTCTGAGGCATCTCCGCCCCAGCCTGACGCAGACCCCAGCTTGGCGCCGCTCCTGGCCTTTTGTCCCGTGGCAACCGCCACACCTCGCTGCCGAAGCTCGCGATAACCCCTGGCGGATGAAATGTGCCTTCCGCACCGCGATTCGGTTCAAACTCGAAAGCCCACGGCTGGTTGCTCTCCAGCCGCCTCGCGAGGGGTCACGTGACAGACCTCACATGCCGGCGGCGTCTTCTCATCCCGAAACGTGGGCCTGTTTGCAATTTTGGAGTCCAGCTGCACCGCGGCTGGACTCACCCATCAATTCCTTCTGTGCCAGTTGACACCCACGTTCCGAGTCACGCCCACCCGGGCCCTTGAGGAGGGGCCCACCTCTGGTGGCCTTCCGCTTGCCGCCAAAGGACCGCCCCCGCCCCCTCGCTGGCCTTCCGACATGTGTTATCCATCTGGCCCCTCGGCACGACGTTACAGTACATTCCCGCCTGAGATATGGTATAAAATCCTGGGGAAACTCATCATGTAGTACTCAGACCTTTACATTGCAAAAGAAAATTATTCGAATAATGAAAAAATGCCATCCGCCTTACTCATGTAAGCCTCTCTTCATTGAGTTTGAAATCGTACCACTGCCTTGCCTATATATTTACGAATATGTAATATTTGTCAAAAGTGACTTACTTAACGGTGGGCACATATTTTCAGGCAATACTGATATTTATAATTACAACACACGTCGCAGAAATCACGTTCATCAAGTGTCAGTATCAACAGCTCACTATCAGAAAACCACATACAATATATGTACGTTACTTTACAACGCATTGCCACATGACATTAAACAATTGAAGTCGGTTCACAAATTTAATTTAAAAGACAAACCTTTTCTGCAGCATAACCGTTTCTATACAATTAGAGACAATACTGATTATCAAAAAGAAAAATAATATTTGTTTTAACAAAACTGATATCTAATGAATTAGTTTACATTTGTTTTGCATAATGTTTTTAAACAAGACTTAATATGTTTGTAACAAATAATGTACTTCAGCTTCCGTGTCAATGACCCCCATCTCGATCAGGTTTTTGTCCAGTTCCCCTGATCCATTGACCAAATGCTGAGATGGCGTCTTGTTTTACTTCTGGACGTAAATGTTGCTTCACTATGCGCACGTTTTGTTGAAATCTCCTTTTCGCTTGTAATGGTAAGAGTAAGGGCGAGTTACTATTTTGTTAGCAAAGCAAAAAAAATATAATTGCAATTCCTTTACCGAAACGATAATGTCTATTTTTTTTAAATATTGCTAGTCCTGCGATTTTTAAAATTTATTTTTATTTATGTTAAACCTTTACTCATCTTTCAACTATTTATAGTTAAAATAACGGGAAGGAATTTCGGAACTCAAAAAAACGTGTGCAGATGATCTTCTCCCCCATACGTCACGTACAGTTTTTACTGTTTACACTTACAGTTTTGTTTATGTCAAAAATAAATAGCTACTTAATTTTCAGTTGCATTTATTGTAGTGCATCCGTTCGTATTTTCTATTATACGCACTCGAACGACCGGCAGTCTGAACATTTATTTTAAAAAACAGCAACAGTATCAAATTGAATTATCTACTCAATAAAGTGGTACAAAATTTTCGAAATGGTATAGTTTGATTTTGCCTGCATTCTAATATACATACTCAAAATAATATAAGTAGCCGGAACGATCATTCCTGCGGAACCTGGTACGAATCCATTACCATGCACGAACTCCCTATGAATACAGGCTTCTGCCTATAAATCCAATTATTTGCCTGGACAATATTGAGTATATGGTAATATACAATATCACGGTATTTTTTTCATTTGTTGAAGTATTCTGAACAATTATTTCTCCGAGTGTGCATTTGTATTCCAATTTATTATTCGAAAATCGATAACGAAATGTCATAACATTTTAATATACATGGAATATTTCGCTCTTTCTGAGGTGGGCTCGATAACTCTCTTGTGTTTTACATGGAGCAAACAAAAAAAATGTACGTTAATCTGAGC